ACCTAATATTTACAGTAGTCGTTGAAGTTTCCTGTCGAAATGATTTTTCGAGTATTTTTAGTTCCTTAAAAGGCTTGTAGTTTGGTTGAAGTCTTCTTTTTTGTCGTGATTCACAGGAGGTATTTCCCAGAATAAAACTGGTGTGCTTCTTGCACACGAATGTGAATGTATCGGTGCGAAGTGGGCCGGCAGTGAAGAAAAAGGAAAAGAATCCGTCGAAAACGCTTAGGTTGAGGGCTTGCTCACCTTCCTAATGCGGCTGTGCTAACAATGAGAGACTGAAGCGCGAAGAGGAGGGATGAAGGCGAGAGAGCACAACAGATGAGAGGCGCCAGACAACAGCCTCAAACTTGCAGCTGCTGCAGCTTACTTTGCAAGGCCCTAGCGCCCTTGTCGGCTGATTTCCATGCACGGGAGTGCCACATCTGTGATTGACCTCTAGAGTTCTATCCCTACAGACCGAGGACAATCGTTCACACGACAGCTGCCGGTTGTGCCTTTAGGACTCAAGGATTCAAAAATACTAAAGCCAAAAAGAGATCGATATTGTAAGCCAACAGGTCATGTGAGGAAAAATAATGCACGACAAACCGTTTCTATGAACTCTACTGCCGCTACTGTAGATACGGTTACACCACCGTAAAATTAATTTCCAAGTGTAAAGCGAGCTTTTTTGAACGAATTTTCCTTCTCTCATGTACTGAATGTCAGCAGAACCATTACGGGAGCTGCAAGCGTTTTGCTCTAGAACTGCATAATTGCGTCAATATTGTGCTGTTTTCCCATGTGCCTGCGTTGCTACGAAGAAAGACCTCAAAAATGAATTACTCGGAATGGTTGGTTCGACGCGAAAACAAAGGCAGCCTCCATGCGAGGCACTGCTATATAGACACCCTCGCTGAAGCTGACCAGCTAAGACCGGAGCTCCTATGCAGTTTGCTTAGCTCTCCAGAAAAGGCTGAAAAGGGGTTGGAACACTGGAAGGGCTGAATAAGAGCACCCTTATAGTTATTGATATTCCCTCTAGTATGTAGGTGACTAACCGTAGCATTTCACATATACAGGCACACACGCGGCAGCTTTTGGATAATTCTCTAGGAGCTGGGACAGCAGCTGTGGAGGGTGAAGT